AAGAATTGACAATGTTGTATTCACGGTCTAGTGAGAGTTGACATCAGATTTGTTATCATTTAATAATATTGTAAAGTAGTTTAATTAGTAGTTGGCAAACTTTTAACAAGTTTAGATGAAGCATCATTTTGTTAAAATTACGGAGAAACTAAATGCATTATATCAGTTCTTTTTCCATCACCACTGGGGTTTTCTGTCTCTGTATCCAATTCCATATGAAAACCAGGAGAGCAAAGAAACACTGACACATATTGTACCTTTTGGTTGTTTATTACAAATGGTGACAAACATATCAAGGTATTCAATGACTGTACATTCGTCTCATATTATGCTAACCAGGAAACAACACACACTGCTGCTTAGATACAGAGCTATAACTCAATTGTCCTTTATAGCACACCACAACATCCCACAATAAATAGCAATAAATTACCATCTCCATGTGCCTACGATATCCATTTTGACACATTTTTGCACTGAAAGAAAAGTCAACTATAAGTGCAAAACCTTGAACTCGCATACATTCAGGTGCTGTTATTTCCCTTTTTACAAGTGATACTCTTCTCTGTGGTCATCATTTTAGTACATTTAAGCTGCCCAAAATGCCAATATTTAAATGTTAATGACTTTAGACCCGGTCTTCCTACCATGTTTAAAACAAATATTTTTCATCTCTCTGTTTGTATAAACCAATCACTGGCTATAAACAGATAACACGTCTCAGCTTCCTCCCACTGTACAAACATAAAGCTAAAATATCTGCACAGTAGGGATTGTGGGAATGAGCCACTATCTCAGCAGTTTTTTTTAGTTGGTCCCACCTGCCAACAAGGGTGTATGACATATTCTGCAGCTATTCACTCGGGGGCGTTTTAAAGTGTTTTGGCTTCACTTCTGGGTAACAACTAGTTGTCCATCTTTTTGTACAGTAATTGGCATAAACAGTACCATATTATCATCCTCAAACACTGTCTTGAGTGTAACTCCCTGTGTAATAATTCCAATTTGCACATATTTGACTTATATACATTTGCGTTACTCCGGATCTTGTGTGGAAAGACATTTTTGTCTTGCCTCTGTGTCCTCAAAGGTCACCTTCTTGTTCCTCTTGGGGTCAATCCATGAGTTATGGATGACCACATTGTTTGGTGTGGGGTCAGCTTCAACTACAGACACCACCCTCTTCTTCATTTTGCTCTTCAAAACCTTTTGGAACTTCTGCCGAGTGAAGGCGTAGAGGAGAGGGTGAAAAATAGTTGTCCCATAGGCCATCACCAGGAAGCCCAGCCGGAGGCGTACAGTTAAATCACTGGGCCCAGTGCTGAGGATGATGGTGTTGAGCACAGTTATTGGAGTCCAGCATAGTAAGAAGGTGGAGATGATAAGAAGAGACATCCTGAAGACTCGTTTCTGCCTCTCCCGTCTTTCCCGGTGACGTTTTACTGCTCGTCTTAGAGCAATAATGACAGACACTGAAGCCCGCATGCCCAGAGGTGCGTTACCACCTGCCTTAACTCCTGTACTGCTCTGTGAAGCATCAGTCGACTCTGCTTGTGTCGCAGTGCTTAAAGAGATAGTGTTTTTATTCTTGTGCTTTTTTTTAGGCAAGTTCTGCTGAAAGCGAGTCCCAATACGAATATTAAGCGCCTGAAGGATTTTGTAGTAAGTCACCAGCATTACTACAGCTGTGAAAAAGAATATAGGGATCTGTGCGAGCAGGTGATAGTACAAACCCAGCTCTGTGTAGTACTCGTTTGTATGAGCTACCGTGACCACAGCAGTCTGGTTCAAAAGGTCTGAACCAGAGTTGATGAAGAAGCCTACTTCCACGAAGGGAACCAGGAAACTGGAAAAGGATAAAGCCCAAATAGATCCCAGAAGAGCCACAGCCCGGCTCATCGTGAGAACGCGGTTCGCTGGCCGCACCGAGATGTCATAGCGGTCCACAGTGATGGCAAGGACGTTAGCAGCAGTAGCTACGCTTGCAAAAGAAACACAGGCCTCATGGAAACAGCACATCATGGCTGTGTCTGCCTCCGAAGGAAGTAGCACCACCACAGCTGTCAGCGGAATGCAGCATACACATACCTGAAAACAGATTGGAATTCAGGTCACATCCAAAATTTCCATTTTTTTAATCTGGTTTTAAGACCAATCCCAAACAGCATTCAGTAGGTAGGTTAGTGTGAAATATTTTCTGACAACATTTACATATGATAGACAAAAAATGCATTTGTGGTTCATATTACTTCAGTAATTGCATTCCTTTGTGCCATACTAACTTTTGTAATTAGCCAAATATCCAGTACAAAAATCCGGTTGTATCATGGAATTGCTTCAGTTGTCCTCATTCTTTATCCCATTAACACCTGCTGTATACAGTCTGTATCTGAATACAGCACCAGTGTAACGATATCCAATTGATTGCATTTTAATTAATATTAGAATTATAACATATACGTATTGTTGAGTTGCCTCCCGTCTAGTCAAAGACCCTCTCTTGTTGCTAGTGACTCAGTAAGTGAAGGGCTGGGTCCCAGCAGCTTCAGTTTAGCACACAACTGCTGTATGTTCACATGTATTTGGATGTGGTAATCAGATTAGCCATATGCGAACTGGGTGGACAGCATGATTGCTGTTTTATATTGAGTTGATATAT